CCCGCAGATCCCACGCTATTCATTGATGCATGTCAAGTAACACGTACATGCACGCTGTGGTGGCATGTAACATGCGTACGCCGGAACTCACCTGAACTCGCCAGCCAACCAGCCATATGCGGCTGCAGCACACATCGGAGCTTGAACCCGTAACGCATACACCATACTTCGCGCTGGCCGTATTGCTACTTCATATTTGCTTTGCTTGGGTAGTGAGAAGAACACCGGTTTGTTCCTTTCTCACCCACCCACCTCTTCCCATCTATGAATAATATTGATATCCTTGATTCAACACAGGTATCATAATTCATACAAGACGAAAATAAATAGGAGTGCTGGGCCAGCTATCTCCTCTCATCTGGCAATTATCACGGCCTTCGGCCATCACACTCATACTCCCACACTCCTGCCTCCTAACGGGCATTGCACTTCGTGCGTGGGCCGTCCACACTCCGTCCATTTCATGGGCGCCCATCTCATGGGCTGCACTTTGTGCGTGGACATACATACACACTATCATACAGGCCGTCCACACTCCGCCCAGTTCATGGGTGCCCATTCATGGGCTGCACCTCGTGTGCGTGGGCCGTCCACACTCCGTCCATTTCATGGGCGCCCATCTCATGGGCTGCACTTTGTGCGTGGACATACATACACACTATCATACAGGCCGTCCACACTCCGCCCAGTTCATGGGTGCCCATTTCATGGGCTGCACCTCGTGCGTGGACTATCCTACATGATTATCACATGCCAGATTCGGTTGCCCAGCACTCCATGAATCCTCCATATGATGTGTGCTCTCCACTGGTCTGCAATAGCCAGTGCATGCGTGTTAAACAGTTGGATAGTCCATCATCGTCATCAACAAAGTACTTCGAAGTACATGTACAATACTGCAGGATATCAGCGTTCCGTTCCGTTTGTTACAATTCGTCCTCGCGAAGCCTCCCCTGCATAATATATCATCTTTGATAATACATGTATTAAAAGTCTCTCAAGTTAGGTGATTGTTGCTTTTCATACCTCACTTGTGTTTTGACTTTACTGTCTGGTCTTGCTGTTCCATTATCGTACCAGACTAGCATTCCACGAAGCCTAGGAAAGGAAAGTAGATTGTGCTCGGCTCAATGGCGATTACCGTCCCCTCTTTGGAATTAGCACTTATATCCATGAACTTTCCACGTTGGAAGGCCATTGGTTAGCGCTATCGAGCCGTGCTCAAGCTGACTTTCTTGGTGAATGGAATGTCTCTGCTCCTTGGCAGTTTTTGTACTAGATTGTGGACGTGTGAGTGTCCGAACTCTGGTTTTAGTCAGCATGTTTCCATTTTAATATCACTTTTTTAAAGTAAATGCGCGGAATCACACGTGCCCGGATCGATATGTTTGAAGCTATTAGTGTGTGGATTTTCCCATTTGACACACTCTTGAAAAGCCCTGAATGTAACGGAAAGGCCGTTTTGAAGGAACAATCATCATCATCAAGCTAACCCAACACGTTATATATGACGGATAAGTGTGAAAGCGGGTGATCAGCGTAGCGTGCACCTCAGGTGCTAGGCATGAGGTGAGAACTGTTACACCATCCACTTCCTCAAGTTGTGCTCAAGCCAATACAACATTTAAAAGATACTGATGCAAGAAGAGAACCCAAGTAGACGTCGAAATTTGCCAGCACTGGACCAAGGGGCGAACCCATCGCGACACCATCGACTTGTTTGTACATGAAAATTGTTTGCCAGTTACTGTGAGTCGAAAATTGATAATTCATTGTGGCCTGACCTTTATGTACGTTTCGTGGACGACTCATTCACATATTTTGATAATGAGAAGCGTAGTAGCGAGTTTCTTGACGTGTAAATAGTATTCACCCTGCCCTTCGTTTCACATGTGAGCATGAACAGTCCAACAAGTTGTCATTTCTGGATGTGCTGGTGGAAAAAAACGAGTAGTGACGTTCTGACAACCGTTTATCGAAAGCCGACGTTTACTGGTCAGTACTAGTACGTATATGACTCTTATTGTTCATCTCAATAAAGTAAACTTAGTGCGTAACCTTGGAGATCGTGCGAAGCGTATTTGTTCGTCCTGTAAGCTGCAGGAGGAGCTTGACTTTCTCCGGTCAGTTTTCGTTAAGAACGGGTACCCTGAGTTTTTGTTGAAGAAGTTGTTGAAAGTCGAACAAATTACTAAGGCTCCTTTGTTTGGTCCTGCTCGTTGTCCCGTCTATTTATGTTTGCCTTGGAAAGTTTAGGAGTCGACTAAAGTTTGTAGTGTAGTCAAATCTGTACTATGTAGTACACTTTGTGCCAGTCTTTACGACGATGCGTGCGTTTACGGCGAGGAAGGATGTCCTACCAGCAGCCCTTCACCTTAGTCATCTTATTTACAACTTTGAATGCCGACAATGCGCTAGTCGGTATGTTGGTAGGACTGTTTAGCACCTGAACGCACGCATCAAACCACACACACCACGTCACATACAGTTACTTCCACCTTGCGCACAACAACAAAGACCGAAGCGAGGGCGATCTAGAAAACAACCGTTACCTACACAACTTGCGGATCCTGGCTCACAGACTGTGCTTGCTCCGCCGTCGCTGGTGGCGGTGGTGGAGGAGGGTGGGCGTGGTGGCTCATCGGGCGGGCTTGTGTCGCCGCCTTTGCTCCTGCCGTCGGTGGTTTTGGCTGGGGTGGTCCCGCTTGCAGTCCCGGTCCCACTGTATCAGCAGCTCCCACACCATCACCAACAATGCAATCCACAACAACCACAACTAATCCACCATCCAAGCCCACTATTGAAAGACCAAGACGATCAACAGCCAACTACCACAGAAGCTACGCACTCAACGGACAAGGGCGCAAGGAGGGACGTGACAGGGACGTGACAGAAGGGTGACGGCCGAGTCCCGTTCAATGGACCAAGTCAGGCAGGATAACAGAGAGAGCGCAGAGGAAGTGGATGATGGGACGGACGGTGAAGGGAGCAATGAGTCGGAGAGCGACGATTGTAGTGATCGTGAGAGTGCCGGTGAGAATGTTAGTGTTGTGCGTAGGTTTCGTGGTGGCAAGTCTTCAGTGTACAATCATCTGTGGCTAGGCCTGATTGAAAGGTTTAGGAAGCCATCTGTCAGCGTCTGTATAAGCCTAATTTGTGCGTACAGAAAGATAGTATAATTGGGTTGAAATTGTTCAAGTAAAGTTTCATGTTTGGTGCGGCCAAGCTTGGCCGTTAATGTTCTAGCTGTAATGTACTGCTGTTATTTGTTATCACTTTGCCCTTCCTTCTTTCTTTCTCTTCTTTGTTCATTTTGCAGGTGCAAGTTTATTGCTAGTACACGCATTCGTTATTGCTCTCGCTTTCATTGTTAAAATTCACAGTTGTAAATTTCACTGCTGTTGTTCTTAGTGTTATTTCTCTAAGTTAGATTTTCTATAATAGTTCAATTTTGTTTTCAGTGTCCTTTAGTACAACGAAGATTCCGGATGAGTGTTGTACGGAAACTTGTTTGAATCCTTTTTTCTCTACACAATTTCTTCACATTTTCATCGTTTTATTGCACATTGTCTCCACAGTTTTACATTACATGAATAAAGTGTACACAAATGTCGATCCAGCTTGTATTACTGATTGCGGTTATATAATAATATTAATATTTTTATTTCGGGATTACTCAACGCCGGAGAACGCCTATCATGTCGACCTCCTATTTGAACATGCGCATATAATCGGTTGTGGCGACAAACGCGATTAGGCCGGCTGCAGGGACGCCGTAATGTCGCACTCGCCCCAGCACCACTCAAACAGTTCCCTTTGGCAGTTCACGGCACGAACTTCAACAAAGCCCCGTGAATGCGTACTAGGGGAAGGCTAGACAGCATGTCTCTAGACATCAATAGGCATCGTATGAAAAGCCAGTCAATAGCACTAAAGAGCGAAAGCCTTTGTCACGGTTCGGTTTCACTCGCACACCGGGCCCGAGCTGCCAGCGCAAACAAATGCCGGGCGCGAGCTGGCAGCACGAACAAACACCGTACTCACACGAGACCGCTGGGCCAACGGATGGCCACAGCCATCAAAAACAGGAACAAACCCATCCACGGCTCTTTCTCTTGCTAGCTGTGCTGCTGCGTGCATCCAACTGTTTTGCAATTTCTCGTCCGGCTCACAACCACCAACTCAACGGTTTGCCCGGTCAGAGCCATGCACACCTATCTCTCCAGACGCGCCAACCTGCCCAATAGACCACTGGTCATCGAAAGCTGTGGCAATTTCCACTGCACGGCCTCAGAGCCGGACCCGCAACCACAGGAGCATTGAGCGGCTTCACCGAATCCGAGATCATGAAACTCGGCAGAACGGCGAAGTGCCTGTTACAAGCACTATGTCCGCTGTGGAAAGTAACTGTTCACCGTCCGCAGGCGCGCAAGCGCGCACAGCCACATACACGCACCCGCATACACATACACACGCACGCACGCACGCGCACACCCACATGTATGCACACACGCATGCGTACGCGCACCCGCACTCTGACACCGTGCAAGCATGCACGCATGCACACACGCTGCGCACCCGCTGGTACGCCCACTCGCGGACGCACGCACTCACGTTCTAGCACTGACTGGCGGTGTGGGACACCCCATGCCATGGCGGTGTGGGACACCCCATGCCATGGCGGTGTGGGACACTCCATGCCATGGCGGTGTGGGACACCCCAGACCATGGCGGTGTGGGACACCCCATGCCATGGCGGTGTTGGACGCCCCATGCCATGGCGGTGTGGGACACCCCATGCCATGGCGGTGTGGGACACCCCATGTGTGCACGCACGCTTCTGATACTTATGAGAAGCTATCTGCTCCACTTAGTTGCGGTGCTATTGCTCTCACCTATCGCACCATGCCACCCATAGCTTTTGCGACTGCATGCGATTCAAACCCGTATCAGTGTCACTAAGGGAATACAAACATACGAATGGCATGCATTCGAACTACATGCATGTAGCTGAAGCCCCTCGCACACCGGGCCCGAGCTGGCACCCACAGCAGAAGACACGCCATCTCCGGTGCCCGAGAGCACCTACTCCCTCTGATGTTGGAGGGTCAGGCCTACCAGTGGCTAGGCCTGTCAGCGTCCACACGTGCCACATACGCGACAGCCTGGAAACGACTGCACCAATTCTGCCACTAGTCGGCACCAAGGTGATTACAGACACCATCATGCTGGCGTTTGTAGCCTACCTGGCGCGTCAACATGCCGCGTCAACCGTCCGCCTGTATGTGTCGGCGATCCGGGCAATTGCCAAAGAAAACGGCAAAGATCTCTCGTCGCGAAGAGTGGACCTCGCAGTTCAAGGAGTGGCACGTGCACAGGCCAACCGAACTAAAAACGCCAGTAAGCCAATCCTCCTGCCCCACATGGCAGCTATGCGCAGGGCCCTGATACGGTCTAACCTCAACGCGACCGACCGAGCCATGGTATGGGCAGCTATTTGCCTGGGCTTCTTTGCGTGTCTCCGGGCAAGTGAGTACACTTCCACAACCGCCACGACCATGTCAGACGGTGGCCTCCGAACAGAAGACCTCTCCATCACGCCGCAGGCAATACAGGTCACAATCAAGAAGTCCAAGACCGACCAACTCGGCAAGGGTCACTCCGTCCGGCTCACAACCACCAACTCAACGGTTTGCCCGGTCAAAGCCATGCATACCTATCTATCAAGACGCCCCAACCTGCCCAATAGACCACTGTTCGTTGACAGCTGTGGCAAGTTCCTAACTGCACCAAGACTCACCCGTCTAATCCGTCATCTACTGAGCAGCGCAGGGTACCCACCTATCCAGTATTCACTGCACGGCCTCAGAGCCGGAGCCGCAACCACAGGAGCAATGAGCGGCTTCACCGAATCCGAGATCATGAAACTCGGCAGATGGCGAAGTGCCTGCTACAAGAACTATGTACGCTGTGGAAAGTAACTGTTCGCCGTCCGCAGGCGCGCAAGCGCGCACAGCCACACCCGCATACACGCACCCGCAGACACATACACACGCACGCACACACACCCACGCATGCACACACACATGCATGCACGCGTACACGATACCACAGTCTGACACCGCACAAGCATGCATGCAGGTACACACGCTGCGCACACGCTGGTACGCCCATTCGCGGACGTATGCACTCACGTTCTAGCACTGACTGTGCACGCACGCCTCTGATACTTATGATAAGTTATCTGCATCACTCTGTTGCTGTGCTATAGCTCCCACCTAGCGGTGTGGGACACCCCATGCTATGGCGGTGTGGGACACCCCAGACCATGGCGGTGTGGGACACCCCATGCCATGGCGGTGTGGGACACCCCATGCCATGGCGGTGTGGGACACCCCATGCCATGGCGGTGTGGGACACCCCATGTGTGCACGCACGCTCCGACTACATGCGATTCAAACCCTTCTCGGTGTCACTAAGGGAAAACAAACATGCGAAGGGCACGCATTTGAACTACGTACATGTAGCTGAAGCGCTTGAATACCACACTAAGGTCATTCGGCTGACCAACGCGGAATTTGGGGGCATTCGGCGGCTTGGTCTGATTCCTAGCTTGTTGGTAACCGGCTTGAGGTTTCCAAGGTTGCTATGACAACGTGCAGTCATGCTCAGGGCCACCCAACATGCGTTGGGGGCCCAGGAAAGACAGAAACGCGTTGCTAGGCAACAGCAAAAGCGCTCAGCGAGTATCACGCTACTCATGCAGCACGCACGCTGGCTTAGGGTATCACGCTACCCTTGCGCTGCGGGGTACCACATTGCCCCTCGCTGGAATCAGACCCGCGCCCCGGATACCTTGCGCTGGCCTCCTGACGGCCAAACTCAACCAACTTGCGCGCTGTGACTGGGGTTGTGCATGCCTTAGCAACATAATGTGGCCCAGGTCGGCAGACTTTCAATTAGCCAAGCGAGCTACTCAGGCCAGGGCGCATGATCACTATTCGCAGCACTTATCGTCCATGCAGCAGTCGGGTTAAAATCGGTTGTGGCGACAAACGCGATTAGGCCGGCTGCAGGGACGCCGTAATGTCGCACTCGCCCCAGCACCACTCAAACAGTTCCCTTTGGCAGTTCACGGCACGAACTTCAACAAAGCCCCGTGAATGCGTACTAGGGGAAGGCTAGACAGCATGTCTCTAGACATCAATAGGCATCGTATGAAAAGCCAGTCAATAGCACTAAAGAGCGAAAGCCTTTGTCACGGTTCGGTTTCACTCGCACACCGGGCCCGAGCTGCCAGCGCAAACAAATGCCGGGCGCGAGCTGGCAGCACGAACAAACACCGTACTCACACGAGACCGCTGGGCCAACGGATGGCCACAGCCATCAAAAACAGGAACAAACCCATCCACGGCTCTTTCTCTTGCTAGCTGTGCTGCTGCGTGCATCCAACTGTTTTGCAATTTCTCCCTCCCACCCACGCCTCTTGATCTGTCCTAGCTCACTATTCTGGACAAATATTAATTCAATTGCAATGAAGCGCCGGGGGCCGGCGGGGGCATTCGGCGGCTTGGTCTGATTCCTAGCTTGTTGGTAACCGGCTTGAGGTTTCCAAGGTTGCTATGACAACGTGCAGTCATGCGCAGGGCCACCCAACATGCGTTGGGGGCCCAGGAAAGACAGAAACGCGTTGCTAGGCAACAGCAAAAGCGCTCAGCGAGTATCACGCTACTCATGCAGCACGCACGCTGGCTTAGGGTATCACGCTACCCTTGCGCTGCGGGGTACCACATTGCCCCTCGCTGGAATCAGACCCGCGCCCCGGATACCTTGCGCTGGCCTCCTGACGGCCAAACTCAACCAACTTGCGCGCTGTGACTGGGGTTGTGCATGCCTTAGCAACATAATGTGGCCCAGGTCGGCAGACTTTCAATTAGCCAAGCGAGCTACTCAGGCCAGGGCGCATGATCACTATTCGCAGCACTTATCGTCCATGCAGCAGTCGGGTTAAGTGTGTGTATGATATGCCCTGGCTCACTTATAAGTTATACACGTACACGTAGATCATGTCCATGATGCCTTTCCTCTGCACAGGTCCACCACACTATTGTTTTTAAGATTTACATATTACTTCTGCATATGCATTACATACTGTGATCACGCTGGCTCAATCCCTTATTTACTAAGCTACCACCACCCCCCCCCCCCCCTTGCAGGTGCGTCTGCCCAGTGTTGACTTCGAGACCCACTGTCGGACGAGCTGCCCAGGCCTCACCACCACTGCTGTTTCCGTGCTGCCTTCTTGAACCATACGTATGTACACTGTATATCATGTGCATATTCACATGTCAACCCAACACAATTCTCTACATCAGGTCAGAGGCGCAGGTTCTGCGCTGACAGATACTGCCACAGAGGAACAATCGCCTTCCCTGACTCATCCCGTAGGTTCTCAAGAGGTTCCCAAGTAGCGTCGGTGTATCCCTTCCAACAGGTATTGCCGTTGCCAGTTTCGCACTCTATGGCTGGTTACAGCCTCAACGATGTACTGGATATGTCCATGGAGGTCAGTCATTGGTGGGGGCGGAGGTTGCGTCCATCCAGGTACGGAGTTTTCTGTATAGAGACGCAATGCTGTGATATTAAGGATAATGTTATTAGACACAGGGTGACAGCATATAGGGCTGGGAGGTCCAAACGAAATGCATTTGGGCCCACGCGTTCAGTGATCCTGGAACGAGCCATGCCATTTTGGTCGGAATTTAGGAGAGGGGGTCACCAGGAAATCCTTGTAAACCAAGGCCATGTCATTCACCTTGACATTTACACACTGCCGGCCTCTGTACAAAGCATACAAAGCTTGACGTTCTCCACAGCAAGGTCCAGTTCCTCGCATGGCAGGTCACTAAAACGATTACTCAGAACAAGTGGGGTGGATTGGGTGCCTCACGCGCAGCCAGCAAGCGCACTCCTCCTCTTACTGGAAGCAGAGGATGGTCGTCGACCTCGACCTGTGCGATTTTTTGGCCGATGTTGTCCTACAAGTCACCGTTTCCTTGATAACACTATGGGTATACCAGCTGCTTGTGAAGCGCTATGGGACGTCCGCGACTGCGTCTCCAGCTGTTCAGCCTTCGGCTAAAGCATTATTTTTGTGTTGTATTGTATTTAAATTTTTACTTGGGCATTCCCAACAGACCTTAAGGTCTTCTTACAGGGTGCCCAAGACGAATGAATTGGTTAAAAGTTCCTGGCGAAATGAATTGGGGATATGATTTGTGTGAAGGGATTCGGGAAGGGCATTAAAGTGGTCAGCACCAAGGAATGGAATAGATTTGTATCCAGCTTGAGCTTGCACAATGGGTAAAGAAGGGGAGTAATTGACTTGCCCGCGGGTGACTCTCTCTGTGTGAGCGCAGTCACGGCGAAGGGAGAACATGTCAGAGAGGAGTGAACTGCAGATATTGTGGATGCAACGGAACACGAAGAATATGGACTTAGTATGATATCTTTTGTCTACATAGGCATTGAGCACTCTTCGGACCGTTAAGCACACCACTTGACTACGTCAAGGGCTCCCTATTGGTAGCGGAGCATTCTCGCTTTACTGTTCGTGTCGGAGGATGGAGGCGCCAAAATGGGTGGACTTGAACTACTCGATGAAGAACATCCCCTTTCCGTCGCCAGCCCAGTACACAACCAGGCTTATCGAAATGGTGGAAAGCCTCATCAAGCGAATGCGTTGGCGAGCGATATTTTTTTATGAAAGGGCAAGGTGACAAGGCTGAACTGCAACAGCAGGACAACTTCGGGTTCAAGTCCCGGAAATGTCCACCGCAGGTCGAGGAACTTGAGCCTTTCGAGAATGATCTGCTGAGGATGGTGGAGAGTGTAGAGTTTAAAAGGACGACGGACAGTTTGCAGCGGCGGCTCGAAGATGACATCGCTCACATCCGGGAGTCAAGCGACATCTTCGTGGCGGCGGACAAGACAAGGACCATGTATGCCGTCAACAAGGACCGCTACGAGAAAATGATGCATGACAATGTAACCAAGAACTACAAGCAAGCACCGGAAGAGACATACGACGACATAAATGTGGAGGCTAAGAATATAGCCAATGCGCGTGGATTGGACGAGAGAATGGATTGTATGGCAAAAAAGGACGCGGACGTGACTCTAAAAGACAACAAAGACAACTTTAACGACAACCTCCCATGCCGCCTCATCAATCCGGCGAAGAGCGAGGTCGGAAAATTATCAAAGGCGATCCTGTAAAGGATAGTCCAGGATATCCGACGCCAACTGCCAACAAATGCTTGGAAGAACACATCCACCGTGATTGACTGGTTCGAGGGGCTGGAGGAAAAGCAAAACTGCGTTTTTGTATGTTTTGATGTCATGGAGTTCTACCCGTCTATCTCGGAGGAACTATTATTAACGTCGTTGGAGTTTGCCAGAGGCTTCACGTCGATGTCTTCGGAGGACCAGGAAACAATCCTCCATGCACGGAAATCCCTGCTATTCGGCCTCGGTAAAGAGTAGATGAAGACGGGAAGCGGAGTATTCGACGTGACGATGGGATGCTATGACGGTGCTGAAGTCTGTGAGTTGGTCGGCACGCTGGCCCTGGCCAAACTATCCGAGGTGTACAACGGCAGTGACATTGGACTCTACCGCGACGATGGGCTGGCAGTGTTCCGGAACGTATCGGGACCGGAAGTGGACAGGATCAGAAAGGACATGACCAAAGTTTTCAACAGCCTAGGACTAAAAATTACCATCCAGGCAAACCTGAAATCAGTCGACTTCCAAGACTGGACCTACGCACTGGCAAATACCGTCCATATCGGAAGCCCAACGACCGGCCACTGTATGTCCATCACAAATCCAACCACCCACCGATCATCATCCAGAACTTGCCCTCTTCCATCAGCCGACGACTAACGGACATATCAACGGACCAAGAGACATTCCAGGA